CGGGGAACTCTGCAAAAAACGCATCTTCGCACGGGCAGCCCGTGCGTTGGCCAATTATTTCTTGTTGACATGGATCGTGATAGGTCCCAGTCAAAGAAGAAAGTACGTCCAGCATCGTGTCATCAACATTTGGTAATGTGAGCTAGCAGACTGTTAGGCCTCAAAGACAGCCCTTCACCTCAGTCGAAAGCTTCTCTTTATTATCGTTCGAGATCACTTTTATTTGTTTCTTTGGGCGCCACTGATTACAACATGATTATTCAGGTGATTGCTGTTTCACTGATTTATATGGCTTTAAAAATGACAAAGTTGGACAAGTGCGACTGGTATGATCGGCGTCCGGGCGAGCAGTGGTGGGACCAGTTCATTGCAAATTTAACCTGCGACATGATGGAAGATGTGAGTTTGCTCAATATTGCTTAAAACGAGGATATTTTGCAAATACCCATATTCGTTTTACTCATTTTCATCTTTTGCAAGTTCAATTTTGGAAGTTTTTTGCAAGTTTCAAAGTGCTCAGGATTTAGTCTTACGAACGAGCTTTTTAATCCTAAGCTTATATGTACTGTCGTATAATTTTAGGTTTGCCACAAAGTGCTTGACTATTACTCGATCACGCGCGCAGAAAGCCAGTGACACATGGTAACCAGATTGTTCCTAAGATCGCGATCTTGTTTTCTGAATCGCGAGTTGAATTAAACATTTCGAACTCATCCGAGTGACAGCGGAGGGAATCTCGAAGTATGATATCATGCAACCCAGAAATGGTGCTCTCGACCTTCATTTTTAATAATTTTGTAACTTCTGTCATTTTTCTTGTGTGCCACTGAACTTCGATTGATTGACCTTGCCGTTTGTGATTCTTTGTAGATACTTTCAAAATTACCCCATTCCTTTGAACAGTTGCAGCTTCGTCTTTATGCTTCTGTGTACCGGTGCAACTGATGGATTTCCTCCTCCTGCTTTGTATATATTTTAGAAGCTCCTGTTGTGTAAATAAGACCGCCCGGAAGCCGCTTTGATGATCCGGTGTTAAAAATGTTATTGGAATGCTGTCATTTGTCGGGATTAGCTACCCCAGGCCCATGAGGTGCCTGTCCTTGGTTGGTACCACTGCGTGGTTTTTACCTGGTTCACTCTTCCGTAGACTTGACGAGCGATCGTTTGCTGTTGCGTATGTTTGTTATCGACGCATGCCAAGCATTTAAACAGCTTTTTCTAAGCAATCGTTGGAGGGGGAGTTACAGATATCGAAGCCTTGCCGGCATTTGGTTGCTGTTGGGATGTGCCATCATTAGAGTTCACTTTGAGTGTTTTGCCTCCCAGCAAATAAATTATGGAATATTTTGACTTTGACCATCCTCTGGATGCGATGGGTAACTTGTTTTTTTCACGGGTATACTTTCTTGCCTAGCTTTAACAGAATTGCTTGTACCCGTTTTTTGGTGGAGGGTCTGATTGATGGTGGCGAAGGGATATTTCAGCTGTGCCTCTTTCTCGGTGTTGGGACATATTGGAGAATTTACTGAAAAAAAGAAATTGCATTTTTTTTTCTCTGTTTTTCTTCCTTCGTCGCAAACTTCCGGTTTATTTACTGCTTTTTGTGTGTATTGAGGTTTCCAAGTTGTCTACTGTTTTGTTATATTTCAAGTTTTTAATGAATTTTCTACATTGACTGTGGCTTTAATTCCAGGGCGCTTTCAGGAAGAAAATTCAGGTTACATTTTTCGCTGCAGTCTGTCATACGCCCTTGCAACACTACATTTGTACTAAAATTCCAGTTGAACCACAATTACAGTGAAATAATGGACGAGGTAACTTTACTTGCTCATGAATTAGCTTTACTGGATGCATAAATCCCCCTCCCTCCTCCTCCCCCACTCTCGGTGAAGCGCTATTTCATAACTGTGCCTACAAAATGTACCGGTAGGAACGCGAAGAAGACTTCGGTATCCTGATTTCTATGCAAGGCGGGGGCATTCGGGAAAAGCTTGCATGAAGGCAGTCTGTCAATGGAATTGACAGACTGTGTGCGGTAACTTCCAGCCGTTTTGACTCTGACAATACCAGTTTGGTACCCGAATGTACTGTATATGCCTTGGCGGATTTGGATTCGATCTAGCAAATGCGCTTCGTCCCAGCCCCTGTCCGTGAAGTGTGTGTTTTGCTTTTACTAACAGGGATCATTTAAAAAATCGTTGTCATATCATACTGCAAGTCGAACCACAATAGCATGAAAGAAAAGAAGAGGAGGAAAAGTACAACATAGGCTGTATAGGCAAACGCTGTTAGACCTC